GGGGGGGCAGGGGCCGGCGGGGCAGGGAAAGCCCCCCCCCCCAACCCCCCCCCCCCCCCCCCCTGCCAGGGGTGAATCCTGCTGGGGGGCAGCCCCACAGCCGGCTCCATCCCTCATTCCTGCTGGGATGGGGGCTCTGGGGAGCAGCCCACCCTCCCTGCCCAAACCCGGCATGGACACCTGGGGTCTCTCCTGGTATGGGGGCAGGTGGAAGCCCCCCCAGCCCCACACGGGACCCCTTGGCTGGGCACGGCTTTCCGGGGCCCTTTTGGAGAAGCCCTGGCACCCGCTTTATGAGAAACGCCAGCGCTTCGAGGAAATGGGGAGAAGGGGGGGGGTGTGAAACCAGTCTCCCCCCATCACCGGCCGCCCCCCACCCTCACCCACCGGGTACCGGCAGACGGGAAGCGGCAAAGCCCGAGGGAGGGAGGAAGAGGGGAGGAGAGAGGAAGGGGGCCGGGGGTGTGTGGGGCTGCAGCCCCCCCAGCCCTCATCCCCCAGCGGGGGCAGGATGAATTCCCCCATCACACTGTGCGTGTCGCAGCCAGCAAAGCTGGGAGGAGGGCTGAGGGCCCTCTGTGCCCCCAGTGTCTGTCTGGGGAGGGGGCTCCATCCTGCTCCCCCACCGGCGATGGCTCGTTAAGGCGGGTGGCACTAATGGGGTGACCGGGCAGTGAGGCCACCGGGGCTGGTGCCGGGGCTGGTTTCCAGCTCTGGCCACCAAACCCCAAAACCCCAGTAGACCCCAAAATGCTGCAGTCGAAGAGCTGAGCTCTGCTGGGGCGGGGTGGGGGGGCGCTGAACCAGTGCCCCCAACCCCTGCTGCGAACCCAGGCCGGCAACTGGGGCTACTGGGGCCAGTGATGGAAAAGGGGAGACCGAAATTGCAGGAGGGGCTCGGATCTCCCAGCCCAGGGCTGGGATTTGGGGTCCCTCACGGGTGTAGGGAGAAAGCAGGGTGCAGCCTTATGGGGGGGGCCCACCGTGGCAGCCCCTGGGGCTGCAGGGTGCCCCCCCCCTGTCCATCCCATCCCGTCCCCTTCCTGCCCTTGGCGCAGGCTGGCGCCCAGCCCGAAATAGCAGCGGTGTTGGTTTCCGATCCGGAAGGTGCTTGGGGAGGGGGAGGAAGATGCCGGGGCTGGGGGGGGGCAGGGGGGGGGGGATCGGCCCCTAGAGCATCCCCCAGCTGCTGGGGTCAGTCAGCTTCTCACGGGCACCCAGCCGGGCACGGGAAGGGGAGGGAGGGGGTTGGTAGGCATCACGGTGCCTCAGTTTCCCCATCACCCCTCTGCAGGGCAGAGCCACCAACCCTTGAGCTGGGGGGGGTGAGGGTGAGGTGTGGGGGGGTGATGTGACAGTGACGGTGCCTCCGTCCCCTCCCCAGGCGCATGTTCCCGTTCCTCAGCTTCAACCTCTCGGGGCTCAACCCCGTGGCCCACTACAGCGTCTGCGTGGACGTGGTGCTGGTGGATCAGCATCACTGGCGTTACCAGGGGGGCAAGTGGGTGCAGTGTGGGAAAGCCGAGGGCAACATGCCAGGTATGGACCCCCCAAACCCCTCCCCTTCATCCTCCTTCCTCCTCCTCGCAGTGTCTTGCAGGGGGTAACCCCATCATAGAATCATTGAGGTTGGAAGAGACCCTTGGGATCATCGAGTCCAACCATCTCCCCTACTCTACAAAGTCCTCCCCTACCCCATGTCCCTCAGCACTGCATCTAAACGGCCCTTAAACACAGCCAGGGATGGGGACTCCCCCCCCTCCCTGGGCAGCCTGTTCCAATGCCCGACCACTCTTTGGGTGAAAAATTCCTTCCTAATGTTCAATCTAAACCTCCCCTGTTGGAGCTTGAAGCCGTTCCCTCTCGTTCTGTCACTAATTACCTGTGAGAAGAGACCAGCACCAACCTCTCTACAGTGTCCTTTCACGTAGTTGTAGAGAGTGATGAGGTCTCCCCTCAGCCTCCTCTTCCTCATACTGAACAGCCCCAGCTCCTTCAGCCGCTCTTCATATGATTTGTCTTCTAGGCCCTTCACTAGTTTCGTTGCCCTCCTCTGCCCTCGCTCCAGCACCTCCAGATCTCCCCTCGATCCCTGCTGACTAACCCCCCCAACCCCAAATTTTCCCCAGGGAACCGCCTCTACCTGCACCCCGACTCCCCCAACACGGGCGCCCACTGGATGCGGCAGGAGGTCTCCTTCGGGAAGCTGAAGCTCACCAACAACAAGGGGGCATCCAACAACGTCGGCCAGGTAAGGGGTCCCACCGCCACCACGCCGGGCTCTACCGGGTCCCCCCCGTGTCCCCCCACCC